CGAGGCCCCAAGAGACCCCCCAGAGGCACCCAAGACGCTCCAAGAGGCCTCGGCGAGAATGCCCAAATCATTGATTTTATTAAGGTTTTGGCCACATTTGGGCCTCCTGGGGGGGGTTGCGCTGCTTCAGATGACTCCAAGAGCGCCTGGGAGAGCCCAAGATGACCTCCAAGATGGCTCAAGATATCCCAAGATGCCTCAAGATGGCTCCCACGATGCTCCAAGAAGCCCCAAGACCGCTTCAGGACGGCTCCAAGTGGCCAAAGAGCTCCCCCAGGCGGCCCCGAAGAGGCCGCAATCCTTCCAAAACCTTCGGACAATCAACATGTTGGGCTTTCTCGCCTTGTCGCTTCCGATGGCCATCCGAGGCTTCAGGATGACTCCAAGATGGCCCAAGAGGGCTCCAATAGCGCTCTGAAGGCTCCCAAGGGCGCTTCAAGAGGGCCCCGCGAGGAGACCGGGACCGCCAAGAGGCCCCTAAGACGCCCCAACCGGCCTCCACTGGGGTACCCTTCCTTCGTGTGCTGCCCACTTCCCTGATCGAGGCACTTCCTCTGGGCATCGTTTCTGGACGGGCTGGCGGGGTTACGCGAAGCGTCTAGAATTGCTTCTTCAGCGCCGCCGCCTGGTCCTGCTGCGTCGCAGGGCCTCCTGATCATATTTCCCCATGCATAAAACAGGGGTGCATGCGCCCTCTCCGCCACGCGCATGGGGGAAGGGATGAGCCCCAGCGACCTGGTACCTCCTTTAGGCTTCTGCAGCAGGGAATACATGAGATATCGGATCTGAGGCGGCCAATGGGCTCCGCGTGAGACGTAGTGCACGAAGTCAATGAGATACTGCACCGCGCCATCAGAGAGCCAACTCCACCATCGAGGGTACCAGCAGTCGATGCCGATGCCAGCGCGTGGCTTGAATGCCCGACACATTGAACGCAAACGTTCTGGCGATAGGCTGGCGATGCCTTCTAGCATACTGTGGTCGCACTCAATATGTTCCCACTGCCGATGCGGAGCGCCTGCGCTGATGGGCCCATGGCTTTGCCACACCTTGAACCGGGCCCCCGCCTCGACGTCGGCAGCCATCTGCGGGTCTTCCATTTGAAAGGTGGTGAATCCATTCTTCTGTGCTGCAATCGGTGGCGACGCCCACTTGGTAAGTCTGTGTATGTATCCTGCACCTCCTCGAGGTGCATCATTGAGTCTGGATCTCCACCTCTTGGACCGTTCTGCAGCTTGGGCCCTCTCAATGACCCGGGCTTCTCGCTGGGCCTCTCGCTGCAGATCCATGACGGGAACGATGTCGCGGGCCAAAGTGTCTATGGTATAGTCGGTTTGTAGCATGACCGTCAAACGTCTGAGTAGCTCTAGTGACCTCTCAGCCGGTGGTGAGAACCATCGATCCGATCCCATTAGTACACGTCGCTGCAGGTTAGTTCGCCTAGCCCTGAATGGGGCCCAGGATCGCGCCGACAGCGCCGCTTGCGAGATGAAGACGATATCGCTGGCACGGGCTGCAATCCATCGCCAGCAACGCGACTGAGGTGTCCCTCGAGGCCGTGCGTGGGGCTGCGGCCCTGCCAGGGGAGGTCGTATCCATCTAGGGTAGTCTCCTCTGCCACAGTAAGCCGTGGGATCGTCCACCTGACAGATATCCACCAGCTCACGCTCCGCCTGCCTTGAGAATAACAGCCACTTGGAGTGCATGTCCTCGTCCGTCCAATTCACGCGCTGCTCAAACTCTGGCCGCGCAGGTGGCTCGGGCACGCACCCAGGCACCCGATGCAGTGGAAACGGCTTCGGACGAGAGAGCTTCCAACCATGCTTGGCTCGAATGCTGCGGCCCAGCGTAATCTGGACTGGCGAGCGCGGGAAGGCGGCGCTGTCCAGGACCGTGGCCTGCCCAACGGCCCCAGCGATTGTGGAATCAACAATGAAGTAATCGATCGCTCGGCCACCTCCCATCCCAGCGCGCGCAGGTCCGTCTGGAACCAGTGCAACTCCAGATACGTCTTCTATCCAGCCCGTGTCGATCAGCGACTGGATGTCATTGTTGAAGTCGGCCTGCAGCACCCAGGGGTTGCCGTATGTGACTATGAGGTCGCCGATGGCGTCGAGGATGGAGAGGTCCCTGATGGTCCAAGCCTCGCTGGTCCAGAAATATGCGCTGATGAGCATGAGTCCTCCAGCCTGCCCTGCTGGTGTCCATGCTGCTGCTACTCTACCCTCAGATCCTGGTGGTGACATGTCGTAGCCACTCTTCCCATACAAGACTGTGAGGCCGGTATTTCGTGGTGCAAGGATTCCAACCCCTGCACCCCTTCCTCCACCTTCCCCAACTGCTGAGGAGGTGAACGCGGCAATGAGATTGCGCCCGAAACAGGACGCGGCCAGTTCGTGACGCCAGTCCGGTGGGAGCCGAAGCTCTTGCAGGAAAAAGATATGGTGTGGGGCGACGTCGGTGGCCCCGTCGATGTAGTCAATCGCAGTAGACCATGCGTTGGCGTTGGGCCCAACGAGCTGCAGTCCAGGCCTCTGGTGGGGCTTTCGCCCTCCGCGGCTCCTCGCAGGGCCGCGAGTGCGCCGCTTGGTGGAGCTAAAGCCCCGACGCTGCGGGGGCGGCCTGTCCCCCTGGCGCGGGGGTAGGCTGTGCACCTCTGGCTGCCCTCTGGCGAGCTGCACGGGCCAGTTCAGCAGCGTCAGCAGTAGCAGGGCCTGCGCCAGGCTCAGCAACCTTCGGCGCAATGATGGCGCCTGCTCCCCCAGTCGCTGCTGCGGTCTGGGTCGCCTCCTCCGCTGGGTCTGATCCGTGTGTGCGCCTCAGCTTAGAGTGGAGCCGCTGCCGAAGTTCCTCCAGCTCGCGTCGTCGCCTCTGCAGCTCCTCGGCCGTGGCGCCGAACGCCTGCTGGACAGCGGTCTTGAGCTCCTTGGCGAAGGCTGCCGTGTGGGTCTCCCATTGCTGCTTCTCAGAGTCGTCGAGCTCCAGGCCCTCGGTCGAGAGGGCTTCGCCCTCCTCGAAGTTGAGGTCCTCGAGGTTCTGGGGCAGAAGACTGGTGAGGTTGAGGCTGGCGACGGGCCGTTATTGCGCAGGGTCGTGCCCCGCTCGCGGTTGATCTGCTCGAGCGTGTCACTGACGCCCTTCTCGGCCTTGGCCAAGGCCTCTGAGGCCTCAGCGGTGCGCTCCCGACACTCCGTGAGCCACGCCTCCGCCTTGTGTTCCGAGAGCGCGGCCTTGTCCAGCGCTTGGTTGGCCCTACGTTCCGCCCCCCATGAGCCTCTGATACTTGGCGTGCAGGGTCTCGGCGGGCTCCTTGGCCGGCGGCAGAACGACCTTCTTGAACGTGTCGAGGGCCGCCTGGCTGTCGGCACCCACACGAGATTCGATTTCACGCAGGACTGAGTCGAGGGAGGCCTTGGGGTCGTCGTCGGGTGTAGACTGGCCACGCCCCTTCTTCTTGCCGTAACCGTGACTGTAGGTGCGAGACTTCCAGCCAGAGTCGGACCAAGCCCCACCAGCTTCACGCCATGGGTACGTTGGGATCTCGAGCGGGGCATTGCACGAGAAACGCGTGTCCTTGCCGCGCCACGTCCATTTGTATGCACACTGCGTGCACTTGACATAGCCAGTCGCAGTCTTGCCCATGAGTATGGCATTGACAAAACTCGATGCTGTGCCGCCTGGAGGCTCACACAGCGGTGCGATGAGAACTCTTGGGGTCGAGCCGCGGACTAGCGGTATCCACTTGTTTCCCTGGGAAACTCAAAACCTTGAGCCAAAATGGTTACGGCACCAAGTCAAGGGAATCATTTGTGATATCCAATGGTGCGCCCGTGCATGTGGTCCATGCTGTAGCTGAATAAACCCTCCAGTTGAGCCGCTGCGAACCATCAAGACCGAGTGGGGCCAGCAACGTCAGCATGTTTGGGACATGGTCCCAGTCGTTGACTCTACTGCTGGAAGGCCTTCTCCAGGATGTCGTATGGAACTGTATATTCCATGACCAAAACTGCCCATGTGTACAGCGATCCCGCCGTGGCCAGTAGCTCTGGATGTTCGTTATCTCGAGGCTCGAGTCGAGAGGCCAACCAGGTAGAGGTAGCAGGAGGAGTCCTCTGCCAGCCAACACGCACCATGTTAACCATTGTCTTGAGTAGCGTCTTAGTCGCACCCACGATCTTCGGGTCGGGCGAGAGGGGGGGATAGCAAAGGGGGGGGTGAGAATCAGCTCACGTAGCTGATTTTCCCGGCGCCTCCCGGCGCCGGAGGCGGCCATGTATCGAGGAATGGGCCCCTCGGTGAGGCCGAAACCAGCTGCATGCAGCAAATATCGTAACCCCCCCTTTCCCAAACCTCCCCTTTCGTCCGGCCCGAGATCTGCACGCCGCAATGCATGGCAGGCCCAAATAGCTGGCTAAGCCACAGCACGACCAGAGCGATTCCAGCGACTTCGCATCTCGCACGCTGCGAGGTGCGCGGCTGCGACCCCGCCGCCGCCGCGCGCGCGCCGCCCCCTCCGCGCCACAGCACGACCAGAGGAGGAGGAGGAGGAGGAGGAGGAGGAGGAGGAGGAGGAGGAGGAGGGGAGGAGGGAAGGAGGAGGAGGAGGAGGAGAGGAGGAGGAGAGCAGCAGGAGGAGGAGCAGCAGCAGGAGGAGGAGGAGGAGCAGGAGGAGGAGGAGGAGGAGGAGGAGAAGAGAGGAGGAGGAGGAGGAGGGAGGAGGAGGAGGAGGAGCAGCAGCAGGAGGAGGAGGAGGAGGAGGAGGCGGCGGCGGCGGCGGCGGCGGCGGCGGCGCGGCAGAGGCGAGGAGGCTGGAGGGCTGCAGACGGGGGCCGCAGGCCGGGGGGGCCTCGCCATCGCTCGGCCGTCCATCTCCCGTGCATTTTTTCGGCTTCGTGCGTGTTTTTATTTTCCTCGGTGGTCCAGGATCGTCCTCAATGGCCCTCGCCGAGAACAAATGCACACGTCCGAGCGATGCCAAGGGGCAGGCCGCGCGGGGGCGCCTCCGCTGCTCCTCCTTGCACGCGGCGGCGGGCCCCCGCTGCTCCCCCGCGCACCGGGCCCCGAGCACGGCCAGGCCCAGCGCAGCCAGGGCCACGCCGAAGAGCGCCACGCCCCACCGCGCCGCCTGTGCCTGGGGGGTTCTAGGAGGCAACTGCTGGGAGGTCTTCGCCGGAAGGATTCAAAGAGGATTGAGCCCCACTGGGGGGGCTGCTGCGCCGGAGTGGGCCTCGGATGAAGACGGATTAAGCGGGATTAAGCGGGATTAAGCCGGATTTCGGACCAGGGCAAAATCAGAATTTGACCTCCCGGGAGTTGCATCCGCAGGGAGGGGGATGTGGCGTCTGTCCTGTCTGCAGGGGGAGAAGGGAAAGCTTCTCAGGAGGAGGCCGCTTCGCAGAAGGCGCCGGTCCTGCCTCGAGAGACGAGGCCCGCGCCGTCTAGGACTGGGAAGCAGCCTCTCCTTCCAAGGAGCCTCCTCCCCTCGCCCTACCCCCCCCCGCCGCGCGTGGCCAAAGAAGGCCCTGTTGGGCAGCGACATCCGAACCCTACCCCCCCCAGCCATCGACCCTCCCGAGTCGATGGGAGGCGGGGGTGGGGTTCGGACTTCGCCACGTCTTCTACGAATTCCGAACCCTACCCCCGCCGCGCCCATCCAGCTACCTGAATCGTTGGTCGGCGAGGGTACGGTTCGGACTTCGCCGACGATGCTCGCCGCGGGCCACAGCTGGCCAAAACCCCCCCCCCCAAAGATCAGGAAGCAACCAATGAGTTCCGGCAAGGAGAAATTCGGCCAGGCTGAGCTCGGCCATGCCGAGCTCGGCCAGGCTGAACGCGGCCAAGCTGAATATGGCCTGGACAAAGTCAGACTGGCTGAGTTCTTCCTGGCCGAATTCAGCCTGGCCAAGCCTTTCCCTTGGAGAGGAGGGGAAGGAGCTTGGAGGAGGACAACGGGGGGTGGGAGGAGAGTGGGGAGGGCCGTGAGAAGCGGCGAGGAGGATCCCCTGCCCTGCCTTTTGTCAAGCACGCCCCGACACCTCTACGGTAGGAGCTCGACCACAGGAGACCTCCCACAAGACACCCAACCCCCTGAGACCCCAGGACGTTCCCCTCGATTTCTGGTGTGAGGACGTCACGCTCTCCATCATCGCAGAGCCATCGAAACCCAGGAAACGCGCAGTGTGTTTCTTGGCACGGGTTTCCGCTCTGTGGGCCACCCCACTTTCGGGGGAACTTGGACGCAGTCATTGCGCGCAGGGGCGGCCGTCGACCCCCTCCTGGGCGATCGACAACGCCCAATCCCAACCCCCGAAGAACTGCCCGTGCACACAGCGAGAGATCCGTGGAACGCTCTGCTTTGTGGGCCTACCGGCGCCTCTGCGCCACTGCCTGACGGCGTGCCCCCTCCGCCACCCCGCGGCAGCGGCAGCGGCGACGGCGACGGCGACGACGCCGACGCCGACGACGACGACGCCGACGACGCCGACGACGACGACGACGCCGCCGCCGACGACGACGCCGACGCCGACGCCGACGCCGACGCCGACGCCGCCGCCGACGACGACGACGACGACGACGACGCCGACGCCGACGCCGACGCCGACGACGCGCGGGGGACGCGCCTGGCCCCGCCATGCGCGGGCGACGTTCGACGCCACAACGCTGGGAGGGGTGGCGGAGGGCGCCTGGGCTTCAGACGAGGCCAGGGCGAAGAGAACATCGGGTGAGGAGAAATCGAGAACCTCAGATCTGGCTGCCCTGGACGATGTCTCGGGCGCCGCGGCCTTCCCAGAGCGTTCCGGAACGCTCTGAGGGCGATCCGGAACGCTCTGGAACGTACTTATCCTCGTCCTGGCCCCCTGCGAAGACTGCAGCGTTGAGCGCTGCTTTTGGGGAAGTCAGGGCAGGGGCAGAACCGGATCGGGATAAGACGGGGATCTCTGATGTCATGTGGTTCTGGAGCGTGTGCCGGGCGCAGCTAGCCTTCCAGAACACGTGGAGAGCGTTTCGGAAGCCGCTGGAACGCCTCACGGGGGTGAAGGGGGGGTGAAGCAAGGTGCGCTTTTCGTGCACTTTCGGGACCCCTATGCAGGAGGGCGCTTTTAGGGCCGCTCGAGGGCCCCATGCCTGCAACCCTCGATCCCAAGCCTATTGATCGACCCCTCATGACGACACGCCCGATGGCTGGTTGGGGTGGGAAGCCCTGGGCGCCGCGAACTCCAAGGGAAGGTTGGGGCGCAGCTGGCAGCCGGCGCCGAAGCACACCCGGGCGTCCCCGACCCTGATGTGGGCGTTGTAGGCGTCCAGGTTCTGCTCCAGTTCGTGGCGGAACTCCTCGTTGCTCCTCTCCTTGGGTGGCCTGTCGACCTTGCAGCCAGGCCTGCACGTGCCCTTCATGTCGTAGTGGAAGACACGGCTGCCTCCGTCGTCCCGGTCCCGGAGCGGCCCGCTTGCGTTCCCAGACAGCGACGGGCCGTGCGCCGGCCGCAAGAGCCTCGGGGCTGCCGCGAGCTGCACCTCGGTGTAGCCGAAGACGGACCTGATCGTCCACTCGACGACGTCCTGATACTTGTCGTTGAAGTCGTCGTGTGCGTCGTCCCCGCTCACGATGACGAGGGCCTGGCCCTCCTGGGTCGCCTGCCTGTCCGACGTGTCTGGCACACTGGCAGCACTGGCCGACGTGTCCGCGGGCTCCTCGCAGCCTTTCTGCTCGTGGGCACAGCACCAAGCTTTCTTCGCCTCGGACCAGCCGCGCCCGGCCTTGTCCAAACCAGCGGCGCAATCGAACGAGTCAGGATCATCCGCTGGGGTCGTCGAGGACGCGTTCGCGTCCGAAGGTGCATCCGCGGACTTGCATTCGTCTAAGGTCTGCAACAAGCCTGAAGATGCGAGCTGGTCGCAGCACCAGGCCTTCTTCGAATGTGTCCATTCGCTCGGTAAGTTGTTCAGCCTTCATGGAAAACTTACACCGTGTCGCCGCCGTGTCGTACTTAGGAGCTGGGCGGCATGTCATCTGGTCCCGACAAAGCCTCTGCACTGAGAATTCGAAACGCTCTGTAAAGGCTCGAGGAGGCCCCTGGGACGCGGCTTTTCGCAGGCTTCTCACACGGCTTCTGGGGTATGCCGCGCGACTTTTCCCTGGGTCAGAGAGCCCCAAAATGAGAGACGACCCACGATGGGATCAAGAGGGCCTAAGAAGGTCTCCAGACGCCCGAAAAGAGCGCCAGGAGGACCCCCAATATGGTCCCTAGGAGGCATAACAACAGACGCTTTGTTTGCTCCTCTAGTTGCTGAAGCATTTAGCGTTCGTCACCTCGGGAAGCAGAAGCCCAAGACGGCCCAAGAGGCCTCCTAACATTCCCCGAAGACTGTCGAACAAAACCCCCTGATGACCTCGAGACGGCCCAAGAGGGCTCCGATACGGCCCAGAAGGCCCAAAAGCCAGCTCGAAAGGCCTCGGAAAGAACCCCAGGAGGAGCCACATGCTGACCCCAATGCACCCAACATGCCCCGCAAGAGCCCCCCAGACGCGCCCAAAATGCTCCTAAGAGGCCTGCGGGAGGCCAAAAGAGAGGCCCTCAAGAGGCCCTCTGGAGGCCTCTGAAAAGCCCCCGAGATGCCTCCCACGAGACCGCAACAGGCATGCAACAGGGCCTCGGATCACAACCCAGCCACGGAGGGATGGGCCGAAGGCCACCGAGTCAGTGTCAATGAACACAGTGGGAAAGGGACGTGCCCATAAGACCAGCAATGGGACCACAAACAGTGGGACAACAGAAGCGACAAGAACCGACCAAACGAAACAATCCCCAGCACTAGAAACGAACGCGAAGCCATGCGCTAGGAAACAAGGGGTGACAGGAACAGCCATCAATTATTGAACTGACTGCAGCAAACTCCTAACACCGAGGGGAAACGAGAGCAGGCCTGAAGCAGCTCTGAACATCCCGAACAGAGCAAACACTCTACGCACAATCAAGTTCAGTTCAGCAAGAGCAGCTCGGAGCAGCCGTGCGAAGCAAGCCCCTGGCAACCAAAAATACAAACGCAACCAATTGGCATGACCAAACAGGGTCCTGAGAGAAAACGGGTCCTGGACCCCGGGGCCTCTCTCCAGAACCAAGGTGTCTCGTCATTGTTCTTGCACAATCCCGAAGCACGTGGGGTGCCCCCCCTGGAGGCCAAACGCTACGAAACACATCAGGACCCCTTTCCCTCTGGACGTTATGCACACGGCATCTATACACCACCACTATTACCACGTCTGGTCAGGGCCATTCTGGGCCCTTGTACGGTGTAGACGTCTTCTGGCCGAGGCCATCGTGGGCCCAGGATGGCCCTCGCCAGGCATGGTGGTAATGTTCTGATGCCGTATGCGGAGAGGGAGCTCCCGACTGGGCGACGCTCCCAGCAGCCAGAGGGCGACTGCCCGCAGAGCGCTGGGAGCAACTCGCAGTGCAGGCACTGTCTGGGGACTGGCGTGTTATCCGACGCGCGGCAGCATCCAGACCGCGGGCGCGAGGCGATCTGCGGGACGCGTGCACATCGAGCTTTGGCGTCCGCGCGGCGGAGCTGCGGGTTCGGAAGCCGAGCACGCGCGTGGGCGACTGAGAGGAGGGCACCGCACTCACGCCCGCACCCCCCCAATTCACTAATCGACGTGTCACTGTTGGGGGTTTTGTCCACCCCCGACCCATTCTCGGAGCACGGCGAGCTCAGGACAACGGCAGCTCCGACTCGGCCCCTCCGGGCGGGCGTGCCGAAGCCTCGCCCGGTGCCCGCCCGTGGGCGACTCGTGGGCGCCCCGGGCGCTGGGCGCACGTCGTTCATTGTTGATCGTGCTCCTCTCTGAGTGTGCTCGCTTCCAGGTGTTCCTGGCCCCCTCTGTGGCCAGGAAGAGGCCCAGGACAGAACAATTGAAAATGAAAGGATCCTGGCCCCCCCCCAACAAAAAAAATCGAAAAACTCTCGAAGGATCAGGAAACAACATCGAAGAACAATTGAAACTGAAAGGATCTTGCCCCCCCCCAACAAAAAATCGAAGAACCCTCGAAGAATCAGGGACGAACAATGTGTGCAAGTGTGCCGAGGCTTCCCGCGGTGCTCGCCCGTGGCCGCACGTGGCCGCCCCCAGGGCGCCGCGTGCGCTGGGCGCCCCGCGCGCCGGGACGAGGAGGCCCCCCCCCCCGAGGTTCAGCCGCAGGCCACCCGCACAGCGAGGATGCGCGGTGGGGATGCCTTGAGCCCCTGGGCGATGGGGATGCCCGTACAGCAAGGATGCGCGATGAGCAAGGTTGCGCGATGAGGATGCGCGTATAGCGAGGATGCGCGATGAGGATGCGCGATGAGGATGCGCGATGGGCAAGGATGCGCGATGAGGATGCCCGTATAGCAAGGATGCGCGATGAGGATGCGCGATGAGGATGCGCGATGAGCAAGGATGCGCGATGAGCAAAGATGCGCGTATAGCAAGGATGCGCGCTGAGGATGCGCGATGAGGATGCGCGATGAGGATGCCTGGGGCCCTGGGCGCCCTAGTTTCGAGGCTCTTCGAGCGGGGCACGGCCAGCGAGAGCGGCGAGGGATGGACCGAGGAGGCGAGGATGCAGGGGTACCCTTGGGGAAGATTGCGCATCCTAACTATGCGGGTTGACTGTAATTACCGTTCTCTCGACTGGCCCACACGGTGCCGTAAGTCTTCCAACCCCCCGCAGGTGCCCGGGGGTGCAGCGGTAGTCGTCGCGCGGGGCCTCGCGGTGCACCACCACCTCAAGCGACCCCACCCTGCCCAGCAGGTGCTCCATCTCCTCGCTGGACCGCGCGAGGCGCGCCTCACCTGGGTCCGTCCTCCTCACCTTCGAGAAACAAGCACAATTCACAAGCATGAACGTTTGGACCTCCGCGCGGACTTCTTGGATCCGCGCTGGATCCCTCTCCCTGCCGCGCGGAGCTCGGCGGGGGTGGCGCCCGGGGCGCCGCCAGGTGGATCCAGAGCAGATCCAAGAAGTCCGCGAGGAGCTCCAAAAGTTCATGCTCACGCATGGTACTCGCGCCGCGTCGCCGGTGCTTCGGCGATGCGGCGTAGAGAAAGTCGGGCTCCACATCGAGCCGCATCGACGATGCTTCGGCGATGTGTCGGAGTCCTCCGACCTCATCTAAACCCACCTCATCTTTTTTTTGTACTGATGCGCGCCTTGGCAAGAACGTGCGGGGCAAAAACAACCACACCAACGAATTCTGGACAACCAAGATACATCTGGTAATGTTGTAAACTTCAAGACCGTTTCCGTCGGTCTGGCCAACCAACGTCTAGACTTCGAAACCGTGAGCTGGCTAATGGGAGCAGGCTGACAACTACGCAGTACACCACGTCCTGCCTGGCGGACGCACAACAAAAACAATCACCTCGTCCTTCTCCTCCCTCGTTCACCTCCTCGTCAGATCCTCCACCACCTTCTCCCCTTTCCCCTCCGCTCATTGCAGCAACACTGCCGCAAGGACGGTGGCTGGGCGAAGACGCTCTCGGCCGACTGAAAAATCCAATGCTTCCAAGACCTATGTATGGCCCGGGTGGCAAGAGACAACCCTGGCTAAACAGAACTCCTCCGATGCCATGATCAACCTTGGTGGCCACTCCTGGCGTACAGCGTGGGAAACGTGGGGACCTTCGGGCGGCAAGATCCAGCCCTGGTTCCATCTCTCAGCGCGCCCCCGAGAACTGTGTATAGCATTCCTCTTGTCGGCGCGCGTGCGGCAAGTAGCTGGCCAGGAACCCTCTAGTCCCCTCACTTCTCTGGCCCACTCTCCCTTCACCCTGAGCCAATGGAGCGAATTTATGCGAATTCATTCAGAACCAAAAGGGAACATCGCGGCGGCACTGCGCCGCGCCTAATGCCTGCGGCGCGGGGCACAGCAAACCGTGAGCATTATGAGCTGCGGCCCACCGCCAGCTGCGGAATTCTGGCGGGGTGCGGGCCGTTCGCGCACGGCGACAAGCCCATCCCAGCGTCGGGGGGAGGAGGGGGGAAGGGGGGGGGAGGAGGGATGTCAAGACGACGGTAGAGTAGCAGATGCCAGGCCAACGCCCGTCTGAACGCGCCTCGCGTGCCGAGAGCCACGCTGGGACCCCGATACAATGCTCCACCTCATCATCATCTAACGTCCTGCAGTGCCCCCCCCCCCTCCCTCCTCATCCCACCCCCGCCGCGCGCCTTGGCACGGCAGAGGAAGCGTGGCCCGTGGCTGCTGGTACTCTCCACGCTCAGCATCGAATGTCAGGCACGGCCAGGCGAGCTCAACACCAAACATTCAAAAAACATCATCACGCTCAACACGGGCTGGGCACGGGTATTAACAAAGGCCGCCTGGCATTTGCCGGGCCTGGCAAATTTCTGCCTGGCATTAGCCGGGTTGCTGGCGCCCGCGCGGGGGGCGTCCAGGCGCTCTCCGCGCGCAGATCCCCTGCGGCGGCCCACGTCGCTATGGGGCCTCCGCTCCTGCTTCGGATGCCATGGTCGCGGGGGTCGCAGCGCTCCGGGAGGGCACGTCTTTGCTGTAGCTGTCGTCGCGCGCGGCCCTGCGCTTCGACCTGCCACGCGCGGCGGACCTCGCGTGGTCCACGACCAGGCCGTGGAACAGGATGGATTCCGTCAGGATTGGGGCCTTGTAGGTCCTTCGCCCAGCAGGGTGCAAACCCTGCCACAGGTGCTCAACGGGCGCTGGGTTCCTCTCGGTGTCCGGCGGAGTCTGCAGCCTCAGCGCTTCGGCTTCCTCATAGAGAAGCTCCACGTCGGTTCCCTCCCTCGTGGAGTCGGTGGGTGTGTGGCGGCTGGAGGCGGCGACCGCAGCGAGGTCCAGCGGCGGGACCTTGTGGGAGCAGGGCGCCACGGGCAAAGGATCCCCACGAGCCAGGCGGGGCGTGGGGACCTTGGAGACCCCTGCCACGGGCGATGGAGGAGGAGCAGGGGCAGCAGCGTGCCGCGGCGTGCAGGAAATCAGCGCGGGCGCCAGCAAGGAGTCCGTCATGTCCGCGGCGCGGGTTCGGTGGAAGGGCTGGCGCGTCTCTTGAGCCCAAATGGCTTGAGCCAAAATAGCTACGGATCTAAACCCACCTCATCTTGAAGACCTGGAGCCCATCTGGACTGGCGTCATGAGCTGGGCCACAACCAATAAGAAGCATCATAGCTTCTACTTCAGTGCGAAAGACTGCTGCTTGAGGGGTCCAACTCAGTCTCCATTCATTCGCATCAAACCCATGCGAAGCATCATGCCCTCCCCATCTAGGATGCTCCGAACCACTCCGACCCCCTCTGGGAGGCCCAGGGGGCCCTCCTCACCTGCAGGATCGTGTCTCCGACGATCACCGCCCTCTGGCCCGCGCGCTCGGGGTCGGCCCCCGCGCTCTCGTCGAACAGCCCCCCGCCCTCGATGCTCGTGATGCGCAGGCGGGCCTGCGCGCCCTGCGGGGCGAGGGCCTTCCAGCCCAGGCCGATGGGCTGGTCGCGGGGCTTCTCGAGGGCGACGCTCACGGGGCCAGGCACCTGACGCGAGGAGGCGGCACAGCGAGCGTGCACCGCGGCCTGCGGGGGCCGCAGGCCGCGGCCCGCCGCACCGGAGACGAGGGCGCCGACGCGCGGCCTCACGAGAGGCAGGCTTTCGCGCGCACGTCCGTGCGTTGCGCAGGGACCGAGCGACCCGGCATCCCTATGTTCCTACCACGACATGTTCCTAGAACCCAAAACTGTTCCAAGAACAAACACAAGGATCTTAGAACATAAGCCCGATGTGATACAACAAGACAGACTCCACCAGCCATGTCCTAAGAGCATTGCGTGGAAACCACAAAAGGTTCTTAAAACATTGCTTGGTAGGGCTCTAGGCGAGCCAGAACGCTTCGCCACTGCTTGCGTGCGGGCGACCCCGTTCTGTTTCGTCGCTCACCTGGGCGTCGTGCAGGAGCTTGAGCCCGAGGATCGAGGAGCAAACCGTGCCGTACACGTGCACGTTCTGAGGTCCCCAAGGGTTCCTCGCACCGGCGCTGGAGCCCGCTGGCGGCGCCTCGGGCGCCGCCCCTGGCGCGCCAGGGGGGGAGGGGAGAGGTTCCAGCGCCGATCCCACGAAGCAGCGCGGACCTCCGAACATGTTCTGTTCATGCCACGCGTTGCTCCTCAGAGAGGACCCCGCCCCCCGCCAGCATCTTCTCCATGTCGGCGTACGTGTGGGCCGAGCCGTGGTCTGGGTCCTCCCTGCGCACCTCGATGGCCACGTCCCGCGGCAGCAGCAGCCGGTCCGGGTGGGCCCGGCCCCACTCGCGGAAGGCGCCCGCGGAGGGCGCCCGCTTGAGGCGAAGCCCCTCGCTGCCGCCGTACGACACCTTCTCCCACTCGGCCCCCCACTCCAGCGCGCTGCTCTTGTTGACCAGGATGTCGAACGGCTCCTGAGCTCCGGGGGCCCGCGCCCCGAGCCCCCGAGAGGTCCCCTCGGAGGCCTCGGAGGGGCCGAGTAACTACCGAGAGCGCCCAGGTACTTCAGAGTACCTCGACCCTCGAGTGCTGGCGCTGCCGGTCGGCGGCGCACAGAGAGCAATATTCGGACATTCGGGCATTCGGCCTGCAGTCGAGGTGCCGCGGGGGCACAGCAGGGGGGCGCCGGGGCGCCGCTGTGGGTGACACATGGGATGGCGCGAGACAACGCGCAGGCGAACGAGAGAAGAAAGAGAGCGAGAGAGAGAGAGAGGCAACACACAGAGGGCGGAGAGAGGATAAAGCGGTATGTGAACAAATACATCACAATACGTACGTGAAACATAGACAACATGATGAATTACGACGCACCAGCGCACTCATTGTACCCTGATTCGATATTTTCCCAAGTATCCGTGGTTGCAAGTTGCAGCAAATCTGCGACCGTATGTGGTGCATCCGGTACGCACTACTGTGAGTAACGTAGTACATCGTTCCACCACCTTGTTTTGGGGCGGCCAGCTCGTCGATGTGTCTCCACGTGCACATCTATCCCAGGCTCCCATTGTAAAACCGATCGTGCCCATTCTTTTGTAGTGCTGGTGGCAATCGTTTGTATCCATTCCCATTTGCGCTGTTTGATACTTGTGGTCCAGTCTCACAGAGAGCAGAAAACAAACAAAACAAGCCTTCGAAGACCGTCTCAGAAGGTAGGTGGTTCATGAGATGCCCTCCTTACTTCCTTAGCAGCCTGAGCAGCCTTCCCAGAAGCCCTGCATACGCCCTCCACCGATGCCTCTCCACCATGCCTGGCCAGGGCCATCCTGGGCCCAGGCCTGGCACGACGGTCTCTGCACCGTGCTGGGCCGCAGGATGGGTGGTGAATCAACGCCTTCTGCCGAGGAGAAGCCCCTGCTGCCCTCCCAGCTACTTCGGCTCAAAGCTGGTTCCAGGACCTGTCAATTGACCAGCTTCGAACATATCCCTATCCCTAAGATGGGCGAGCAAAAAGCGAGGACAATCTTAGGGATATGCTCTCAGAAACTGAGGGAATCCTTAAGATCGGCATCGAGGTGAAGTGATGTCAAACATAGGGATAGGGATATGTTTCAAACTGGTAATCAATGGATGCATCCTGCTCGCTGTCCGAACCGCGCCCAGTCGAGCCGTCGACCCTCCTGCGCGCCCCTCGAAGTGCCGCGCCGGTCATCCCGCCCGAAGGGGGGACCAACGAAAAGAGATGGGGCTCACCCATCACGGCTCAGACGAGGGGGGCCAGTGGACTTGTTGGGCGGGCTGCTGGCGGAAGGCTGGCGGAAACAAAAGGGCTTTTTGGCTTCAGGGGGACGGGAGGGGAGGAGGAGGAGAAGGAGGAGGAGGAGGAGGAGGAGGAGGAGGAAGGAGGAGGAGGAGAAGGAAAGGAGGAGGAGGAGGAGGAAGGAGAAGGAGAGTAGGAGGAGGAGGAGGAGGAGGAGGAGGAGGAGGAGGAGGAGGAGGAGGAGGAGGGGGCATGACATCCGGGAGGCGTCATGGCCCCGCCCAGGCTGTCCACACACACACACAGTCCTTTTCCCCCCCTCTTAGAAGCCTGGTCGCCTTCGGGTCAGAACTCGGGCCTCCGGCTGCCGCTCGGGACGACTCGGGCCCCCTAGAAGACTCTCGACGAGGTGCAGCGGCTGGGAAGCATCCCTCCCGCAGACGCCCAGTCCCTCGCCATCGCTCGGACGTCCATTCCGTATGTTTTTTTCGGTTTCGTGCGTGCTTGGTTCGCCAAATGATCAAGGATGCTCCTCGATGGTCCTCGCCGAAGGAAAAATGCACACGTCCGAAAGATGCCAAGGTCCTCACCCCCCTCATCGGCGCCCCCGAGCCACATGGACGCGTTCGCGAACTGAGCTGAGCCGTGCTGGCGAGTCACACCTGCAGAGCTGTAGTTTGGGCTGCTCTCCCGCTTTGAGGTTGAGAGCAGAGCAGTGAATGCGTAGCACAACTGGATTGCCCATTTGATCGAACCTGATCGGACAAGAACGGGAAGCGCCGCTGTAGTCAAATGGGCGTATTGGGCGAAGAAGAAAATGAAGGCGAGGACAACGAGGAGTCGATGACGAGGACGACGTGGCAGCGTGAGGATAGCGAGGAGGAGCATGAGGACAACGAGGAGGAAGAGAAGCACAAGGACGAGGACGAAGAGAACGAGGGCGAGTACGAGGAGGAATGCGGAGGGCGATGATGACGACGACGACGACGACGACGACGACGACGACGACGACAGAGGACAGGTCGAGGCAATTGGAGAAAGACGTCGCTCCTGGCGCCGCGCGGGGTTCTCTTGGGGCCTGTTGGGGGCTTCTTGGGGGCCCCTTGGGTCCTCTTATGAGCTTCTGGGGTCTTCTTGGGCTGTCTGGGCGCGTCGTGGGGTTCTGTGGGAGCTTTCTTAGGCCGTCTCGGCGCTGGGGGCCTCCTGGGGCGCTCCAGGGAGTCTCTTGGGGCCTTCTTGGCCCTTCTCGGGCCGTCTTGGGCTTCTTGTGAGCTGTCTGGGTGGCTCCTAGAGCGCTCTTGGGGGTCTCTTGGGGTCTCTTGGGGCGCTCTTGGGCGCTCCTGGGGCTCTCCGGGGCGTCTTTGGGGCCTCCCTTGGGCTGCTGGAAAGCCCTCCAAGAGCGATTCGAACACGACGTCGATGCGGAGTCCCCTCTTGGGCCGATTGTTGGAGGATGTCTCGAGATAAACGGCCATGTTTCAAAAATCTGATCGGACAAGAACGGGAAGCGCCGCTGTAGTCAAATGGGCGTATTGGGCGAAGAAGAAAATGAAGGCGAGGACAACGAGGAGTCGATGACGAGGACGACGTGGCAGCGTGAGGATAGCGAGGAGGAGCATGAGGACAACGAGGAGGAAGAGAAGCACAAGGACGAAGAGAACGAGGGCGAGTACGAGGAGGAATGCGGAGGGCGATGATGACGACGACGACGACGACGACGACGACGACGACGACGACGACAGAGGACAGGTCGAGGCAATTGGAGAAAGACGTTGCTCCTGGCGCCGCGCGGGGTTCTCTTGGGGCCTGTTGGGGGCTTCTTGGGGGCGCCTTGGGTCCTCTTATGAGCTTCTGGGGTCTTCTTGGGCTGTCTGGGCGCGTCGTGGGGTTCTGTGGGAGCTTTCTTAGGCCGCCTCGGCGCTGGGGGCCTCCTGGGGCGCTCCCGGGAGTCTCTTGGGGCCTTCTTGGCCCTTCTCGGGCCGTCTTGGGCTTCTTGTGAGCTGTCTGGGTGGCTCCTAGAGCGCTCTTGGGGGTCTCTTGGGGTCTTCTTGGGGAGCTCTTGGGCGCTCCTGGGGCTCTCCGGGGCGTCTTTTGGGCCTCCCTTGGGCCGTTGGAAAGCCCTCCAAGAGCGATTCGAACACGACGTCGATGCGGAGTCCCCTCTTGGGCCGATTGTTGGAGGATCTCTCGAGAGAAACGGCCATTTTTCAAAAATCCGCCAGCGCAGTTTCAAAGTGCGGCGCGTACCCGATTATTAATTTCTACCACCAACAAACGGTCCACGCCAGGGGCGCTTCCCATCATCCGCCAGCGCAGTTTCCAAGTGCGGCGCGTACCCGATTATTAATTTACCACCAACAAACTGTCCACGCCAGGGGCGCTTCCCGTCATCCGCCACTGTGCCCCCCGGCACCTTGGGGCGTGCTAGATGAGCCTTCCCAAGAGGGCCTCGAGAGGCAGAAATCAATGATTGCCCTACGGTTGTTGTTCAATGTTTCTGGGGTTCTCGCCGTTTCGAGCTTCCGACGTCCCAAGACGGCCCAAGGAGCCTCCAATAGAACCCCAAGACGGCCGAAGAGGCCCCCAGGAGGGCCCCCCGACGGCCCAAGTGGGCTCCAAGACGATCCAAGAGGCGGCCAAGACTGCCCAAGACGGCCTCAAGAAGGGCCCACGAATGGGAACACGAACCGACAATTCGAATATTCCGCCCCAAGAGGCCTTGTCGAACTTCTGTCGGAAGAGATGGCCCAATTGGTCTCCTAGAGCGGCTCCACAACGACCCAACAGGTCCTCAAGATGGCTCAAAAAGTCTACTGCCCACGAGGGACCCAAGAGGGCCTCAAGCTGGCCCAAGAGGACCTCCAGAGGGACCCGAAACGTTCTAGGATGACCCCAGGACAGCCTCTACGGCCACGAGGGCCCCAGGTGAGCCGCAAGATGGCCCAAGAAAACCCAAGGCGGCCCAAGAGGGCCCAAAGGGACCCCGAAGACTGTCCTACAGGAGCCCAGGACAGCACAAAGACAGCCCAAATAAGGTTCATGGGAGCTCGTCGAGAAATGAAGACGAAAGGTGTCACATGTGACGTTTCTCCTCCGCCTCCTCCTCCTCCTCCTCCTCCTCCTCCTCCTCCTCGTCCCTCTTAGCATCACAAACGATAGCATCATCCCCACCACCGTCCTCAACCTCTTCTTCATCATCACCATCATCGGCATCAGCAACACCATCATCATCACCACCATCATCAACCTCATCGTCGTCATCGTGAGAAGAGTCTTCATGCCCTTCCCTCGCTTCATCGTCCTATTCCGCTGGAAACGGCGGAGGTGTCACATGTGATACCTGTCGGCGTTGCCCGAGCGGCCGCATCAGAGAGCCCTGGGACAGGCCAAGAAAGCTTAACTCCAGCGATGTGTCACATGCGGCGGCTTTCTGGGCATGCTCCAGCCGTCGCCGCAGCGATCGCACCTATCGCCCCGTGATGTGTCACACGCTAGGGCCTCCCGTTTCCCTCGCGCAGCGACCACCAAGAATGCTGTGCCGGCACGGTGGCGGGGCTTGCCGCAGGCAGCCGGATAGCTCCTGAGAGCGGTATCCCTTCCTGCGCGCCCTGCGCGGAGCCAAAGAGCCGATGAAAACTTCTGAAAACCAAGCCCTAAGCCTCCTCTTCGACTTGGCGGCACGCAGAGGGGCAGGGGGGGTAGGGGGAGAGGGAAGGC